ATGAACGACAAGTACAAGAAGACCGATGACAACAAGAGGGACGACAAGAACTGATAGACACTAGACTTTTGCAGACAATTATCCGATCCGTCGATGGGTCGCACGCATAGGAGGCGTAAAAAACGTGTCACCACTTCAGCCGCATATCAACCGCCGATAGATTACCACAAAATACAGTCTTTGGTGCGTTGGTTGCGTCGGAATGGGTACGGGAGGCGCCCTCACAGGTCGCCCACCGCTAAACTACGGCCCGCAGTGTTTGAGGGGACGGGTCGTGGACTGCAGTGTCGGACCTCTGGGGGCGTCCGTACGGGTGACCTATTGGTGTCGATTCCCATTGAACTGTTAATCACCACAAAGACAGTGCTGACGGCCAGTGATGTGCCAATAGATCCCAAACACTCAGAACTCGATGCCATCGGACTGTTGACGGCATTCGTGTTGTGGGAGCGCAGGAAAGGGTCGTCCAGTCGGTGGTCACCGTATTTCGAGTCACTTCCCGATGGGTTCGATGAGTTGCCGTACTTTTGGTCCAATTTGGACACAATCTGCCGCTCAATACCCGTCTCATTGGGCGCACAACTGAACGCCGCGAGACTCGTGTACAACAAGTCTATGCGAAGTGTTTTTAATGAATTAGATTTGTGTGACACGAGTGCTGATAATCGGCAACTATTTCGATGGTGTTTTGGTGCCGTCAATACCAGATGCGTCTATTTAGACACCAATGACTGTCCCCATACCTGTGCGATGGCCCCATTCCTCGATCTCCTCAACCATTCATGCGATGCCAAAGTGGATGTCGTTGTGAATGACACTAACGATTGCTATGAAATCTATTCGTTGTCTGAATACAAGCCATACGAAGAGGTTTTCATCAATTATGGCAATCACTGTAATAGGGATTTGTTTGTATTAATACCGAAAACAACGGCAAAATTACTATCAAATCGGTTATTAAGCTATGGTTAATCAAAATTTGCTCACCGGCTACAGAATAGTTGACTAGGCGCTCGCTGCTTGGCGAATTTACACTACAACTAGTCGGGGATTGTCGACGAGTCCACCACTTATTGGATTCAATACGAGATGATTGACTGGCGATTAGACACTGTTTTACGTTTGTTAGCATTAAATGTCTGGTCATCCGATATATGGGTTCTTAAGCACAAAGTATATTCTGGAAGTATTGAACTCATGGGTTGTGGAGAACAAGAAGTTTACGGAAAATACAAACGAAAACTAATTGAAAGTCTTTTGAGTGAATACAATATGAAAGCCATTGATTTATTTGATAACATATGTTTGAAGCAATTACTTAGCGATGAGTGTACTATACTTTCGCACCATTTATGTGATTTAAATTAGAGATTTAATAAAATAGTATTTTAATTAAGTCTTACCGTATATTTCATTATTCAGCTAATCTTTAAGACAATTGCAATCGAGAAGTGGATCAGTCATTACGGAAATGACCACCAATTGAAGTTTAACTGATTGCGTGAAGTAAGCAATTCACTGATTGATTGCAACTAAATTCAAAGTCCATTTCAACCATATTATGGTAATTGTAATCCAGTAATAGTTTATTTTCGGGTATTATTCATTCAATTAATAATTCGTTTAATTCACATTAAAAAATCACTAAAATAATTGTCATTAAAAATAGAGAGTATATAAAANTCACGTCCTCATACATGGCATCAGTGATGGCGTTATACTTCTTCGGTCTGTTCAGAGTTATCACACAAACACCACTCCTGTTCTCCACGAGTATGTCATTATCAGCGGCAGAGGCGTCAGCATCGGTGGCGGCCGACCCTCCAGAGGCCGAGTCGACACCCGCCTCCTTCAGCAACAGGTGGACAGTCTCAGCGTACTGAGCCATGGCATCGGCCGAAGACATGGATCCCAATTGACTCCACGCCTGCCATTTGGCCGCCTCTACGAACTTAATGGCCGACGGTTTGGATGTCTTGCACTCTCCGGACGTCGACTGCTTGAAGAGACCATACAATCGCAGCTTCACGTCGTTGGAGGGCTCGGACTTCAACTTCTTGAGCTCCTCCTGAGCCCTCGCGAACTTCGCCGACACGTCATTGGCCGCCGAAGAGCTTAACCATTGACTCCGATGGACAACGGGTGCCGACAGTCTATACAAACTCCGACTCTTTTGCAGTAAACCAAACATTTTGTCACCACTTGTTGCACACTTACCACCGATTGTGTTGATTGGGATTAGGTGTCACTTGCAGTATATGGCTATCTAATCACAAATGTCATGTATTTAACAGTATTAACTGTATGTCATTAAATGCACTCAATTTATGTACCCTGATCAGTATCGTAAACACATCAATGGGTCGTACAGTTAACACGTGTACTATTGCTGTAGTTTTCAATACTTTTAAGTTTTGTTTTATTAATTGGCGATTGACTTACATTTTAATTATGGTCACCATTTCAAGTGATTCTTTAAGAGAATATCTCAAGATTTACGCCATTTGACCACCAATGGATCTATTGATTGAGTTTGAATTTGTTAACTATTGGGAGCAGGGTATGTTTAGAACTGTGCAAGAATTTACAGTGCCCATGTTATAAATGTATTTGAACTTGCTTGATTCAAATCAGAGTTTAATGATTAATGCAATCAGTAGTTAAATTAAGTCTTATATTATTTTATAATGAATAAATTATGATACAGTCTACTATCTGATTCAATAACTATTGAATCCAATATACCGGTAATACGGTACCGGTATTATATTAATACCGTATTTGGGAACATTTGCCATACATTCATGACATTAGAAACAATTATAAATTGATTATAAATAATTAGCACCTATTCTTAATTGCAAATCACATCTCATGCATTGCCAGTGTATGATAGGTGTGTCCACTGGTCTACTGGATAACTAGTTGTATGGTGTCTGCGCTCAACTGCTTGTTGTGTACTCTCTGCATATGAAAGCGCATCGCCTGTCGGTTCTTGTACTTGCGTTCACAACCGGGCCATTCGCACCCATACGGCCGCTCCCCTGTATGCTTGCGTTCGTGTGCTTTCAAATGGTGGGCTTCCGTGAAACTGTCGGCGCAAAGTCATTGAGTTATACCCTAACCGGTACTACAAGTCATGTTCCCGATAACATACCTGGACTGACAGCCGTCCCATTCGCACCGGTATGGCTTCTCCCCCGTGTGCTTGCGTTTATGTAAATGCAATCGTTGTCTATAACACGTCTGATAACCACATCCCGGCCACTGACACATGTATGGCATGAGTCCGGTGTGCGCTTCAAATACATGTTTGTCTAAATGCTCGACCCTAGAGAATGCCTGTCCACAGTTGTCAAACTCGCATACAAACGACTTCACCCGCAAATGAAGGTTTTGGTGCAGTTTTAATGAACCCTTAAATATATCGCAAATATTAATTAAGTGGGAGAGAGAGAGAGAGACTCACTTTAATGTGAAAACTCTTGTGACAGTCGGGCCACTCGCAGACATACGGCTTTTCCCCGGTATGTACTCTAAGGTGTGTTAACTATCGGACAAAACACGACATAATTAAAGCCCAACTCATGGCAAACAAATATCACTCAATAATCAATTACCAGTTTATTATTGGTGGGAAAGGCACGTTCACATCCAGGCCAATTACACCTACACTTCAACTGATCCCATATCCGCGTGCGCTTACCAGTGCTCGTACGCACCAACTGCTGCTGATGGCTGTCCACTATTACACCGTCGATGACTATATTATCATCTGATTTATGCCTTCTTTGGTGTAATAAAAGTTTGTGTTTAGTGTTTGCCTTATAATGACATCCAATCCAATCACATGACAAACACGTGTCCGTCGTATCGCCGGTAATGTCCGACACTTTCGGCCGTCGTTTTGGGCGCCCTTTGACTACTGTTTTAGCCCGACTTCTGACCACTTTTGGCCCCCTTTTCACAACACAATCCCCGGTCGATAGGGTGTTGTCGGTGTCATCGGTGTAGTCGTTGTCGTAATTATCAATCAAAAGTCTTAAGTCGTGTCTAATGTCTCGCGATGTCTCACATTTGCAATCATTTAAAACGAGTAAAACTTT